AGATAGGCATAGCCCGCCCCTCACAAGAGGTCAGATACGGTACAGCAAGGAATCATCGGTTCTACGATGACACATTATATGCTCCAGAAAAGAAGAAAAAGGCCAAAAATTTGCATGGATATTGCTTGAAGTTAAACGGGTTGGCAGTTCCCTTTCTTCTTCACAGTCACACCATCCTCCGTGGGTCTATTCTAAGTCTGCTGGGTGGCTATGCACTTCTAGAAAAAACAGGGTTTTGAGTGCAACAAGTTCCACTTCCTCACCAGGTCTTCATAGTGATGCATGCCTCATCGACCATCAACAGATACATTACACATTGATATACACTGTAAAACTTCATGAGTTATTGGCTCACTTTTTCTCACCACCATGCAAACCTCCTGTGCCCCAACGCCACGTCGCGGACCATGATGGCTCGCGTCGCGGTCAGATGTTAAGCGGTTGCCCGTATCGCTCACAGTCAATTTCAACGCTCTGTCATTTCTGTAGTAGTTTCAGTTGAGTAATTTCAATTTAAAAACAACTCGGTAGTGATTTTATAAATCACAGCTGACTGGTTTCTTATTTTCGGATGGTGCGTTTAGCTGAAGAGGAATTGATGGGGTACGCTTATTATTCTCGCTGCTGCTTATTCTCACTAGCAGGAAATTTGCACTACATCCTACTCTGAAACGTTTCTTTTTACTTGATTACTGCAGCGCTACTGTTACTGTTTCACAGCTGTAATGAGTCGATACCGGTCTGACAGTTCTGAGGAGACCCGTGGTCGCTCTACTGCACGGAGTACAAGTGATGGGTTGTCTGCTTTTTACAGGTATGCTTACGTTAAATTATTCAATTCATTCATGTTCATAAAACATTGTGCAGGGAACGTTTTGGCAGCCATTCACCTGAGGAGTATATGAACTTGAGGATCTCCGGTTTCGATGATAAATTAGAAAGGGATGAAATTAAGGAAATACTCACTGCTGAGTTCAGGAAGTTTGCTCCTTTTGAGGTGAGTTTTATTTTATCTTAGAAACGTTAAGAATAGCGAAATAGACCGCAGTGTTAAGAAAATAGCTGTTTGTTGTATCTCTTTTACTGTTTTCATAATATTTGGTATAACTCGCTAATTTTGCTTTGCATAGGCTTTCATGATACAACCATTATAACAGTCCTGTACGGTAGCCTTTGTTATAAAGTTACGGTGGGAGTGCCATGGAGACCTTAGTCTGTTATCCATAACTCATTTTAGATTGTCCTACCCATCAAACTGTGAAATGAAATGTCACGTCAACCAAACGGCTTATTCGACACCAATAAATTAATGACTTCCTCAGAATTTCTTAATATACCATTTCTTAGAAATGGTGGCTTTAAGTCAATCAAAATACAGTGATTCATGCAAAAGATAGTTTGAGGAGAACGAGCACGCTTTGCCGAGTACATGTGATGATTTTTTTTGCTTAGGTGAGAATGTTTTGCTAGACTAATAAAACTTGTTATTCTCCAATGCGTGCCCATTGCGAGCCTGCAGGTTGTAGAGATGGATCCTTGGTGACAAATAAATTCTGAAACAAAAGCTTGCGCGAATGGACTTTGATTTTTTTTGATCGCATATCTACCGTAACCTCACAGTGGCCTTGCCTTGAGGTAAGGATTGGTCTGTGGTCAACATCTCGATTAACTTCTCATTTTTCGATCACTTTTCATTTAATTTTCCATCATTTATTTTTTGATGTATCGGTTACAGAATCTGTAAACGATATAGTGTGAAATCGTAACTTTACATAGGGCTTTCCGTGCGAAGCCATATTTGTGTTCAGCCTCAAAAAAAAACTTTAGGTCAGAGTTTCAGCAAAGGAATAGCTTTGTTTCTAGGCTAGAGAAAGGGTGTGTATCAAATGTTCAAATCCTAAATCTCGATCATCTTATGATGACGTGATTACTGCCTAACTCGTTTTTGTTGGGCAGTGATATTATGAAAATATATGTTTTCAACAGCATATTGCAACCTCATCAATCAGCTTCCTGTAATTCATTTTCTGGGAGAATTTCTAATTTTCTACAGTGAAATGCTACCGACTAAGACTAGAAGGCTAAAATAATTTGACTATTGATAAACCTGCCTGTTTTGTCAAATTTCTTGGCGAAATTCATACAATGCGCCGAAATAATTCGTTTTTTGTTACTTGATCTCTACTCGTTTTGCATCATAAAGTCTTATTACAGATCAAGGTTGTACGCAATCCAGGCGATGATGAGAGATTAGCATATGTAAACTTTGAACGAAGAGATTGTGCTAGGAAAGTGAGGTGAGCAGATGGTTTTCACTTTCTTAAGTTTAAGAACTTCGGATGAGTTTGCTTTGTGAGAAAGTGGCCTCCTCGTCATAATTCCTTATTTCAGGTACAGTATCATGGATCGTTTGAAAAAGGCTCTTGGTAAGCGTGTGCTATGTGATCCCGCTGGGATACTTCGTGATCAAGAGGGCAAATATATTCCCGATCGTTTCAATAGAGCGCTGCAGGCATGTTTCTTTTCAACGTCAAACGATAGAGTTTATAGCGAGTTCACTCACTATTCTGCATACCGTTTTTTGAACACTACGAGAGCTTTTTTGTATGTCATGCTTTTCTTAGTCATTGATCACTAAGTTCTGCTTCTACAAAATCTTTCTAGGAGACCGTCATAAGGAGATAAATATCAAATTTGAATTATCACGAGGTGTTAGAGAATGTCGCAAAGTACACCAAAAAGTCTTATAATGTCACAGTAATGTGGGGGATACAACTTCTATCTTGTAGTTACTCAGTTTTGC